TACAGTAACAACAACAAAAAAAAATTCACATCATCATCAACAGCATTGCACGTTTAGTGATTTTTCATTCTTCATTCTTCTGTTTTCGACTATGAAAATTTTAGAATTTTTTTATTTTATTTTCGTGCAAATTTGCGTAACCAATTTTTTGTTTCATTTGTTCGAGAGAAAAAAAAGCTGTTCCCTAATGTAACTGCAACAGAAGGTCTCTAAACGTCAATTTATATTTACGCAATTTAGAAGAGTGAAGAGAAATGAGATGTAGACGGAAACAAGTCACAACATTCATCGATCATTTCATTAATAAATTATTTAATCTTTTTTCTGTGAGCTGGTTTTTAAGGAAATGAATGAATTATACATTACTAGTTTGGCTGGCTGTCTATGTGCCTGAATTATGAATGTCTCAGAGAGTGATTTTTTCGGGGAAAATATTTGTGAATTGAGAGTTTTTGAATGTCTTGCCCGATTGACACACATTGAAACTTATTGAAAAGTTTGCCACGCGCATGGGTTTATAGTATAATAAGAGCCAGGCGTAAGCCAATTGGCTGTTGCAGCTATCTAGCAACCACTTAGCATCCAGTTGGAAGTTGCTCTAATGTGTGTCGATCGGAGTGTCATTAATCTTTCATTTAAGACTTTTTTAAACTTTTCATAAATCTTCCGAATATGCTTTTGCAAAAAAATTCAATTTGCTCACAATAATTAACAAAAAGGTTGTAAATGTTGGAATGTGCAAATAACAATTTAATTTAAGTTGGATTTGAACCTGTTCCTTATTTTAATATTTTTATATTGCTCTGCAATGTACCGTTATAGAATTTCTTAACTTTGCAGTTCTGAGCTGTGTTCGAAGTCGATATTGTATCGCGGAATTTCATAGACTTCGAGCTCTGATTTTAAGATACTCAACTGTTCTAGAGCCCCCCCCCCCCACCTTTTGTGACAATTTACATCTTCACAAACGAACAAAAAAAATAAATTTCAATCTTACATTTTTTAAAAAATTCTCAAAATGCGCTTTACTCATCCACAACAACAGCCCATCAATTACAGTCATTTCAGAACTGAAAACAGAAGAACAAAATCAAAGAGGCGTGAAATTTGAGGACATTCATCATCATTCATCGATCATTTTTCAAAAAAATAAAATTGTTAACAGACCTACAACAAAAGAAAAGTAGAATAAAAAGAGCAATTTTATATGCATTTTATGTGTATATGTCTCGCTATTGTGTGCAAAAATTTCATGTCTATTATGCTGACATAAAAAAGGTAGAAAAGTGAGAGATGAAAAGTTAATTTAAATTAATTGATGAATTGCTAAATCAATGATTTTCAATGTTGAATTTAATTGATTTTAATTCACCCAACATCATCATCATCGTTTACTATAGCGTAACATATTATCGCCCTTGATGTAGCATTACACATAAAAGACCGAAAAAAATTATTATTTTGCTACACTCGACTAGAAAAAGAAGAAAAAAAATCTCATTATTAAGGCAAAAGTTTCAGCTCCGTACTGACCAAAGCTGCGTAGAAATCGAAATCTCAATGATTTTTTTTTCTTCATCGGCTAAGACTGTGTGCTGTGATTTGGCAATTATGCTCTCTCGTGTATGCACGGAACGATCTAATTGCCCTCGAACAAAAAATTTATAATTTTTCAACTAAAATTTATTTCATAATCATTTAACATCCACCTCGACATTATTTCCATTTCCACGCCTTCCTTTTAATATTTTATTATTTATTTTTGTGAAATCTTCCGGTGATGCTTAGATGAAGTTTAATAATTTTTCCTTTTGTGAATATTGCTGTTGGGTATTTTGTTGGCGGATATTCAATTAATCAAATTATTTTCTTATCAATTGATTTGTGAGTTGGGAGGAAGTAAAGGATTTTGTAGCTAATGGGTGTTAGAGCGCAGTTTTGGATGTTCAGGGGATTAGGTTTCAGTTGCTACCCTGCATCTTACTACAAATTCTTGTGTCGAATTAGGAGTTGATTTTAAAGGATAATTTCTGACAAATACTCAAGAGTATAGTCCATCAAATTTATATTTCTAGGTTAAGGTGCTTTAAGAAGCCTGAGACACCAGTTCCAAAACTTTACTGCTGTATTCTTCTGATCCATCTAGCTTTAGCTAAGTTTGGCATCTTAAATAATCAATGATCCAACAAAATATCACATTTCTATGCATATAAGACATTGACTAGGGTTTTCAATACTAGGATTGAAATGTATGTAATCCCGGGATCAAACCCGGGATTCAGTACATTTTAATCCCGGGATTGAAAAACCCTAACATTGACCTTAGACTATATCTACCTCCAAATATCTCAACACTAAGCCAACAATTCAATGTTAAATTAAAGATTTCATATTGACCCAACATAGACAAAACGCACTGCAATAATTACAGCACTCAAAATATTGACATAATTTTTTTTTAATTTTCTGTTCATGAATCATGATTTATTTAATTATTTTTTGCACCCTCATCAAATCAAGCTCAGCGGTTTATAATTTAATAATTTTTTTGTTGAAACAAAAAAGGCTTTTCCTTAGACTCATGCATAAATTATGTCATAAATTAAATTTTATTTGATTTAGGTAAGAGAATCAATACTTTATCATAATAATCGTCATTATCGTCATCATCATTGTGTACAGAAGAGATTTCTTAAACAGCAGAAAATCTTACAAAAACATTTTTTTATGGAACTTAATGTCGAGGGTCGTTCTATGCGTACGCACAGTCTCATATAATAATGTTTATATTTCACTAAACATCAAAGTCGAATATGTCAACAGCAGACATTTTTAAGAATAATAAATAACCAGCAAAACTTCTCGTTTTTTTAAGAACCGAGAAAATTTTCTCGAGAGCAAATTCACTATAATAGCAGAAAAAGACAAATTAATCGGTTTTTATATAGCCTGGAGTGTTATAATACGATTTGTTGTGGAGTGTTTTTGTATTTTTATGACGCAAAAAAAAAGAATCGAGAGAAGAGAAAAGTTTTATTGTTCTTGTAGTCATTTCTTCCTCTTTCGCACATGCATGCGTATGGTTCGGTTATGTTGTTGTGGTTCTTATTGCATTTTATTTGCTTTCTATTGATTTTTTTTTATTCATTCATTTACACAAATCATTTGGATTTATTGGATTGAATGGCTGTTGGTGGGAGAATTGGAATGGATTGAAGGGATATTTTCAGGGGTTGAATGGTTTTAAATGGAATTGATTTGATAGTTTTTAAATCTTCAATTAATTGAAATATTAAAAGTATTTGAAATTATTCTCAATTCGAGTTTTACAAGCACTTTTCAAGCTTTTTGGAATTTTAAACCTTTGTTTGCGAAATGGGTACGGAAGTCGATAGGGCTTGAACCTAATCGAAGGCTTACTTCCCACCTCATTCCATTAAATTTTAATAGTTTTATTTTCATTTAATCGGAAGAAAAATATTAAAAAATGAGGTTTCAAATACCAAAAAAATAAATTCTTTTAATTTGACGTTGGTATTAAATAATATTAATACCGAAATGACGAAATCGAATCCCTATCAAGGCGTAGAAACTCGGGATTAATCCAGAAAAATCCTAAAAAATTCCTGAGCCAATAAACATAAAAATGTAAAATCCCTTTTAAATCCCTGATGCATTTGATGCATACTTTCGGGAATTAAAAAAAAATTTCATTTTTAAGTTTACTAGTACAGTAATTTTTTTTTTATGATTTTTGGGATTTTTTTTAGAGTTTTCAGGATTAATCCTGAGTTTCATCATCTACAACTCTAATCTATGTTCAAAAATTACAAAACAAGATTAAAGATTTATTTTTTATCAGATGTTAATTCCACGACTATCATTTAGAGACAGACATTTGTGCTCCTCTTCAGAAATGTAACCAAGAGAGTCTGGGTACATTTCTTAAAAAATTTAAAGCCGTGCTCTCGTTCCGAATCGAAATTTTTAAGAGGGTATCGAGACCCTACTGGCTACACCCTCGTTCCTCAAGCATATCGTTAAAAATTACCCTCATTTTTTAATAATCAGCTCTTGCTTCCAGTCTTGATAATAAAATCTCAAATATCCACAAACAAATATTCCTAAATGCATAAAATCCGAATTAATAACTTTTAATACCAAAACATTCTAAAGTTTATCAAAAGAACGAGGAAATTTTTTTTTACGATTATTGTGCAAAAATTATGCTTCAACTCCAAAAATACTTCAAAATCCAATTAATCCTCCTACTTGCGTAAATGCTTTTATGTGATGCTCAACATTTTGTTTTTTGTTCCTAATAAACTAAAGTTCTCTGTTTCTGCGAGTCATTCTCAATCAAAGTTTAAACGAAATAATCTGCGAATATTTTATTTTATTAATGGTAAAAGTACACATAAAAATAAGATGAAGAATGAGGAGTCATTGTACAATGATTTTTGCTACTTGTATTGCTTGATGATTGTACCAATGCTCAATTTGCGTCTGCGCTATTTTGCTTAGTAATATTGGTGAGTATATAAAAAAATTTTTGTTGTGCTTGAAAATAAAAATTCTATACAAAATGTACGAAGTAGCTTAAAAGACTATTTTGGTGGTTTTATAAAAAAAAATGCAGGCGGAGCGAAGAAAACTATGTAGAATATTCCTTTTTATTCCGAAATTCAGGAACAACATCAACATTGCCCTCATTTTTTATGAACATTATTTTTTTTCATATTTAACTCGTTATGCAATTCAAATTAAATTCAAATTTTTCTTCATGAATTAAATCATGCAATGTAAATGATTCAAGGGTAACAGTTCAATTAGTCGACTTAAAAAATATTCTGACTGTTGAGATTTATTTACAGTCATTTATCATGCAAACAATGACAATATTTTGTGATATTTCAAATATTTTTTCTTCTCAATGAGAATGCATTCAATTGTAAAATTTCAAATATTATTTTTGATTTATAAAAAATTGCAATAATTACCTGAGAATCCTTCAACCCTAATCGTTCCGCTAATTTCTTCCTGTCAGGCTTGCTGATGTACTTTTGTATTTGAAAGCGTTTCTCTAAACCCTTTCGTTGTGAATCTACAAATGCACACAAGAATGGTATGTTGTTACTCACGAAGTTAATTTATTTTCAATAAAAAAAAAATATAAAAGTAGAAAAGCAAAGTCTGGTTGGATGAGAAATTAGAGCGCAATTTTCTATGGTTTTATCAGGTTTCAAGGAATTATTTTATGAATTTTAAATTAATTAATATTGGGTATTGAACCTTACATATGAGCCCCCCCCCCCCCCTTTTCCCATCTTGGATTTAATACGTTTTCTGATTTTTATCTTCTTACCTTCATTCCTAGCTCTAGCCACGATCTGGTTGACTCTCTAACTTCCTACGCATCTCATTTAATTACCAAATCGATATCAAACTTACAATTAACTAGATCATTCTTAAAACACTTAATAAACAAACGACAGACAGCCAGACAACTAAACAACCAGACAACCTTAAATCAGCCTTTAATTCCAACCCAAATCCTCTGAAACATGTTTCAAGAATAACATCTTGACTCCTTTCATGTCTGACAAGCAATTCAATTAATTTGAAGAATGGGAAATTTATTTACCTGAAAATACAGCTCTTCTCATCATACCCCGTCGAGGCTTTCCTCTTGTTGAATGCGCCCATGGAAATCCTTGTCCTGTTTAATGAAAAATTATAAATGAGACATGTATTACATTGCCACATCCACGTATGCATTTTATTGCAATAACAACAAGCTCACCTGGTGGGAGAGGGAAAACCTGTGGACCAGCTCCTGTAAAATTTCAATCGTACACGTAACATTTTAATTAACAGAAGGTTGCAGATTATAATTACAATGCAATATACAATTTACCTGTTATGTACGGATTCCTGCAGTGCGCCAATAACGAGTGCAAGTGTGGATGATTAATTCCATGATGTATAAAAGGACGACTAGGTAGTGGTTTTGCTATAACTTTATTATCACGACTATCGTTCGTTTGATGTTCAGGACTACTACTATTATTATTGTTATTGTTATTATTGCATGTTAGAACATTTGATTCATTTCCATTGCCATTGAGGCCATTCACATGTGGCGAAAGATTATTTGAATTCTGATGATGATGATGTAAATGATGCGGATGGTGATTGGTGATAAATGCTGGATTTGCTAAATGACTTTGTTGTATTAAATTTTGTTGAATATAAGGCCAAAGATTTTGCGGTTGAATAAATTCTAAAGTGAAGAAGTGACGATGCAAAAAGTTAATTAATTTAATTCAAATATATTTTGGGGTTTCCACAATTCATGTGGGAATATTCAGCAATGTAGATCTCTTGATAACATTTATTTAAAATTTTTGAGAAAATCAATTTAAAGTTATTCATATGCTTAATGGAAATTTTTCAGAACAGAATGAAAATTGAGTCAATTCTAATGGAGATTAAAATTGATCTGACTAATCTTGAGAGACTATAATCATTTACATTTAATGCAAGTCAGACAATAAAGATTAATGTAAGTTTAATTATTATCTATTAAGATTTTCAACGGCACGTGGATCAGCGGTAAGTCTTCATTATTAGGTTGTTATTGACGTAATTTGCAGTATGAACATTGATTTATTCTGATTAAAACTGTCTGATAAATTGTAAATGGGGCAACAGCCTTATGACATTGGAATGACGTTGAAAGAAACATTAAAGAGCAGAAAATGTAGGAACTGAAACTTTATTCCTAATAGCTAGGAGGCCAATTAAGCTTTTTTAAATTGCTTTGTATGGAGAAATGCAAGACTCGTGCTTAGAGTTAAAGCTTATAGTTTACAGTCAGGAGGGTACAACTTGGTCGTTTTCTAGAATTGTTGAAAACCTTCTGCCTGGAGTAAAACCTGAACCTGCTCTTCCAAGTTTGTAATCGTCTTCAAGACATTTATAGCTACGTTATTGGGACCCTACACATATGATGCATCTAGAAGTTGTAATAGTCTTTGATTTTTTTACCTCTGACTACACTCTTGACTTGAATTTATACTATACAGACTTTGTCTCTGTTAGTCTGATTCACTTAAATTTACTGATAACCGACTTAAGCTTTCATTGCAAAATAATTCCAGGTATGCAGTCAAAAAAATTGATAAAATTTATTTTATTTTTATTACATAATATCGTAAACATACCCAAAAAGTTATTAACCTATACCAATAAAGCACACAGCCCTATCTAAACGAGATAATCGCAAATTTTCAATGTCTTTGCCATGACTATCAATTTTTCACACTAATATTGCGTACATATTCACAGTTCATAAAAAAATATTACGTTATCTACTATTTGTGATAAGATAAATTTAAAAAGCGTCAAGCTATTCGTCACTAGCTAAAAACACTTGGATGAATAATCATTTTTGCTGCTTTGGAATAAAATTAAATTGATTATTTTAGAAGTAGTAATTTTATCTAATCACGTCAATAATGTTATTCGGTTACATAAATTCATTTCCGACCTACCGAAAATTTTCGCGTGTGCATATTAGTAAACATTGTAGCTCAATTCAGACTAAAAGTACTTTTTCATTTCGGCGGTGCTCTAAATTTTTTTAAAACAAAAAATTGGGCTAATTAAGTCTCGAAAATAAAAATATATTTTTTTTGTGTGTGTTTAAAAAATGTGCATTTTGCGTAAGCTAAGTTTATGGTGAAAAAAAATATATGATTTGAAATTATGACCGGGAGTGGCTTATCTTACAAAATGTGGAATATTTCACAAAACAAAATTTTAATTTTGAAAGAAAATGAAAATGCGAAATTGTATTGAAAAGAAATTAAAGAAATTAGCAAATAATTCAAGGTGATTCGTGCAAATATTAGTGAAATTAATCCACAACCTTGATCATCCAATTGACTCATAATTTGTAAGTAAATTACATTAATTCAAGCTTATCAAACAATTTGTTTTCATTCCCACACAAATTGTCATCTGATCGATTTATCAACAAGTCATGTTCCATACACAGAAGAAATAGCACACCTGGAGTAATAACAGTAAAAAAATTTATTGGACAATTGATCACAGTTTATGAGTAGTTTTGAGGCATCTTTAAAAATTCTTCTTCTTTGCTTGAGCATTTCATAACCGAAAAGATTTCAGAAATAAAGCAATTGACATTTAGTTTTTTTTTTATATATTCATGATATTTAATATATGAGCATAAGTCAGTGAAATTCATTCGACAATAATTCAGCAAATTGTATGACATAATGTAAAATCAAGTATTTTTATGGGGTTCGTCCACTTATGATGTCATTTTTGGGGGTCTGAGAATATGTGACAGTTTGAAATAAATTAATTTGAATTTTCTTGTGACAAACGGGAGACAAAGGGTGTCAAGAAATATTCGACGAAAATCAGGCGCATAGCCAGGAGAGTCTTGACCACCCAAGCGAGTAACAAACGAGTTACAAGCGAGTCACAATCGAGTCACAAGCGAGTCTTAATCGAGTCACAAGCTAGTCTTAATCGAGTCACAAGCGAGTCACAAACGAGTGACAAGCGAGTGACAAGTATTCCCCCTTAAGCGTTTTGAATCGCAGCGAGAGCACTATTTATGGGTTGGGGGACAAGACCCTCCTAGCTACGCGCCTGTGAACATCATAGATGAATGACTCTTTAGATGCTTAGTGGATTAGTTTGTGGATGTATCCACAGTTCATCTTATGTGATTACTCGATATTTAATGAAGTGAATTGAGTTTTTTTTTCTTCGTTAGATAATTCAGCATTTCCTTTGACGTAATTGCTTAATAAAGTTGGGTTTGTTGTCATCTACTCGGAATTCTTGCTAAATTGTATGAACTTTTAGACTAAGGTTCAGTTGTATTTTATATTGTAAGACATTTTGCCAAAATATCCGACAATATCAAAGCTATAGAGCAACATTAAATAAATAACATCAGAAGAAATTGCAGAGAAAAATATTTCTCGCATTCCAGGTTAATTTAACACCATTGAGTAATCAAAATAGATCATATTCTTAATTTGACAATAAGCTTCCAATCCCAGCACTTACTCTCAACAACTTCTACTTAAATAAACTTGCGTAAATCCCATAGATCAACTCTTAAAACTCATAAAAACAATAATAAACGGCTACTTCACTTTAATGAGCGCGTGTGATCTATAATTGCAATCTAATTCGTGTGCCACAATTTCTACGAAGCTATAAATCTAAATAGATCAATATTTATGTCAACCATGTGCGCTTGCACGAGGATAGAATTAATAAAAATCTCGGCAATTAAATATTCAGTCAAATGAAAATAAATTTTCAAAAATATTCCCAAAACCCCACATACTTCTTGTACAGCATTCATTTAAAGGCGTTAATTCAAGTGAAAATTTTACACTTTTATAAGTCAACACTTTTCGATAAAATGAAAATTAATTTCTTAAATTGTGCCGCTTTTTGTGATTTTAATCGTCAATTTTCATCTCATAATGTGCATAAGTGGAAGTTTCTTCCTGATTCATGTAAAAAAGCAGAGCAAAAGTTTTATTTTGTTTTAATTGAAAACTTTTTTGTGTTATGGAATTTTTTTTGTTGTGCTGTTATCGCTCATCATCATGTGAATCATGTGTGTTGAGGGAATTTTTTGAAAAGCTTGATGAAAACTGTCAGAAAAAGTTTTTTTAAATAAAATGATTTTATCATATGGGAGTGGATTTAAGGGTATTACGAGATAATTTGTATATTCATGGATTGGATGGGGATTGAAGGAATTTATTTAAATGGTTTTGGAACTTTTTGGGGGATTTTATAGGATTAGAAATAATTTTTGTGAGGTCGGTCGGGTAGGATGGAGTGCTTTGACTATGAATTAAGGGAACAAAGACTCAATCTTCATTCCGTTTAATTTTAAAGCTTAAATATGAAAATTGAAGTATTTGAACTGAGTAAGGAACAGTCATTAACCATTGCAAAATATTCAATAAAGCCTTCCTAAGCCCAAACTTAATTTATTTGACCCCAATGTTAGCAAAGAGAACAGAGTCCGTTACAAAAAAAAAAGTTCAAAATTTTAGCGCGGTATTTTTTTAAAATTTCAAAATAAGAAAGTCTTTTACTTTTTTTTATTTTTTAAACTAGCTGTTTTTTAAAGCATGAACATTTAAGGAATGCAATTTCATCACAGTGATTATCTTAATCATAAAAACAAGGAGGAATGTTCACTTAAATTACAAATTACTCGAAAAATAATAATTCACAACGAATTTTTTTAAAAATAAGAACTTCGAAGATTCGATTTTCGAAAAATAAGAACCTCAAAAATTCGAAGTTCGAATAATAAGAACTCAAAAATTTCTGTTTGCTAGCATTGGATTTGACCAACATCAACAGTACCCAAAAATCCACCAATAATCATGATCTACGGTGTGACTATGACACATTGAATTTTATTATAATAAAAAAAACGCCTGAAAAACGTCAGAAAAATGAAAAAGTACGATATTGCATTAATGACAAATTAATATCCATTATACATCCCACAAATTGCACAGAGCAAGCAAAAAAATGTGAAATAAAATCTCATAAAAAGTGCATGTTATTTTAATTTCATTGTCAGACTATAATAAAATTCATAAAAATTGCATACACGAATTATATGAGAAAAATAGTGAGCGAAAAAACAAAAAATCATTCACAAAAACATCCCTTCAACATGCTGTTAACAATAAAAATAACTTAAAAAAATCTGTAAAGTGATTGCTATTTTCATGTAACAGTTTTTAACAGTTTATTGTGTTATTTATAAATAACATTAATAGAGCAACAAATAGGCAGTTCATAGATGTAAAGCCCTTCATAGACACACACAAAAAAATTATTCTCTACCCTCTTTTTATTTTGTTGTGTACGAAAACTAGCAAATGCCAAAAGGAAAGCATTTAGAGATAAATGTACGAGTTAATATCCTCGTTATAACAAAAGATGGATTAGGTTCCCATTTATGAGGTTAACAAAAACAAAAAAAAAATAATATTTGTTACATGAATCTTCTCGGATTGCAGAGTCTTTATCCATGACAGCAATAGGTAAATAATTGCATAATTCATATTCTCATCATCATTTTTTAACTATTATGTTGGTGGGGTGATTTATTGTTGAAATTGAGTAAGTCCATGAAATGTTCTTAATTTTGTGTTGAATAAATTTAATAATTTAAGTTCACAAATTGCTGATGCATTAAATAATAAATTGAAAATTCTATAGCTTAATTTAGTAATTTGCTAGACATCCAAGGTTCAAATCCTCACTTTGAAAGACACATTTAATGAAATTATCAATTTGAAACAATTCTTTGATCTTATTTTTTTTTTTTATTGTTCAGCCACATTATTTTTTGAGCTAAACGCACTGCGATTCAAATTTGAAGAACCTATTGTACCTTTTAGATCTACAGTTTATAGTTGAACCTGAACCACTTGCAAGCTCTGCACATTGTAAAGACACGAGTACGTTTAAAGACCTGATGTACCCTGTAATGTACTTAGACACAATTCGTGTGTGCAAGATGCTGTAATGAAATCATCCAGATGCTAGTATACCTGGCAAAGGAGACACGTTTTGTGCCAAAGACATCAAAACTACACTCAACATACGATCCGAGCTTCTTTACTAGAACGGTGAAATAGAAAAAGAGCTTTTAATACTTGAGTTTGCCTGGAATTGAACCCCGAACCTTTGGCACGTAAGGCTGACGCTCTTCCACTTAGGCTCTTGATGCCATTTCACCGCTTGAACATTGCTTTAATGACTATAAAATTCCTCAAAATCTTCAATCTATCCATTTTTCACTCGCAATCCTCACTTTTTGTCAGAAAAAAAAACGAAATTCGCTCAATAAAATTTCGAATGTTTTTACAGCCTTGTTTATAGTATTTTACCCACATGAATTTTATTTTTTAATGCACTGTTGATCTATAGGCTTAAAATAAAAAATTTAAAACCTTAAAGGGGTTGTTTATCCAAGAAGTTTAATAAATAACAATAAGAATCTTTACGATTTGTTTTGTGCGCTTTAAAGTGGAGGGAACTAATGCTCAATTCAATGCCCATTACATATCAATACACGCCTTGTTTTTATTACAGATTTTATTTGGTGGAAAAATTTAATATTTCTTCTTTTGTGTGAGCCTTTAATAATTATGAAGAAAAAATAATATCTTGAGGCAAAAAAGATGAGGTAGAAGGTCGGAAGAATGATTAAATTTACAGCACGAGTAGAAATTGTTATTTATATACTAGAAAATATAACATTAAAGACATCCAATATAAATCCTTATAGAGCTGTAATCAGAATAATAAAATCTTCTTTCCCCATAAGGAAGCAGAGCACTTTAATTTGGCGTCAGCTGGCAGCTCACTTAGGAATCATTTTGGATTTCCTTTTCGGTCTGAAAAATATAAATGTTTATTCTCATTTTGTGAATGTGAAACGCAAGATGCTGTGCTATATCCATATTCCTTACGCTCCACATTTTGTGCAAAGTAGAAAATTGATTTTTTTTTTCTGTTCGCTTCTATTTCCTTCTTCCTTCTTCTTTTATAGAAATTTTATGGGGGATGAAAAATTTCCTTTTGATTCTCCGATAGGAACAGCATTTGATGGCAGAATGAAAAGCAGAAGTTAATCGAAATCGAACTTTTTCACTTCATTGTTCAAATAATATCAAATTGATTTTATGATTATGAATGCATAAATTATAGCTGGAGTATTTGTTTTTGTAGCAGCAAATTGAGGTGATAATCTTTTTTATGCTTCAGCAATTTTCCTTTTTATTTATGTTATTTGGATATGATTCTGGAGTTTTTTGGGTTTGGGAAATTGGAATTTATGAATTTTTGATTTGAGATAAATGTTTTGTGGAAATCTGATTTTTGGAGATTTGTAATTTATCATTTTTGGGGGGATTGAATTACATTTAGATTGAAATAATCTGGAGTTATGATAATTGAGACATTTGGATGGGGATAGATTAATTAAGGGAAGTTGTCGACAATTTGTTGAAATATATTAAAAATTCAAAATAATTTAAAAACTTTTGTAGCTATTTTAAAGATTTCACAGGTTCGAATCCTAGTTAATACAAAAGATTCTTTTAAAATTGATGATATGAAACCCCTTAACGTCCAATTAAATGATAGACAGTCTTCGAAATAAATTATTTGAATTGTTTCATAAGTTTGTGAATAAATGTTGAATTTCAGAATCAAAATTATTGAATATATTTGAGAATCTGCCAGTACAAGAGTTAGGCGCTAGTGGTTATGTAACAGATTGGATACCTCAATTCCTCTTTTGTGATGATAAAAGTTCGATTTCAATCAGAAATCATTATTTAAAAAATGCTGTAGTTATGACAATGCTCACGACATTACCGTTAAATCTTAATCCAGATCCGAACCTAGCATCTTCATCATAACTAAGTCTAGTCTATAAATTGTCTCAATCATCCCAAAAAACCATCAAAAACGAGATTTAATATTACAAATTTAATATTTCATTAAAAACAAAGCACACGAAACAGTATTTTTTTTTGCATGGCTATTAAAGGCATGCGGCTTTAAAACATTAGGAAATAAATTAATTAATCTATAATTATCTTGAACCTTTTCTTACACGTATCAATATTAATTAGCAAAGAACGCAGATCAATTGTCGCTTTTGTGAGTAAGCAACAATGTATTAAGTACATCAGTGAGCTGTAATTTAGATTTAAATTGTGGAATCGGCGTGTGTTGGAGTTTTTGTGATTTTGTTCATTTAATTAGAGTTGGGGAAATTTTAATTGATTGATTTATTTGATATTAAATCGATCTGGATTAGGAATTGATTTTTCATAAACAGAATTAGAATTGAATTGAAGTTTTTAAAATGCAAATTTATATTAAATAATTATTTGCTTGTTTTGGATGTTAAAGTCAGTAAAAATGTTGTTTTTAATATTGAAAAGACTACAATTACTGGATTTTAACTCGAATTCTTCACTCAATTGGCTGCTAAGCCAACATAAAAAATTCTTTATAACAAAAATATCTTAACGCGTTACTTCCTTACTCAAAGACCTTGAACCGCCAAAATTAATTTAATTTAAAACTAAAGAAATTCAATTTCAAAAGTTCAATGCGCTGATTTTATGAAAAAAACATTTGATGAAATTTGATTTATTTTGACGCATTCATCACGATTAAGATCAATGTTAGTAAATATGATGTTGAGAGCATTTTAGAGATTCATTAACTATTGCAGCTTACAAATTAAATTTTGAAGAGTTTAGCAATACGAAATTTGAAGCATTTTCTCAAGTCTAATTGACTTGAGAAAAATTGTTGATTTACAGAAGCATTTTGGAAATTTAAACTTCTTCGTAATTTGACAGCAAAATATGTTTTGTGGAATGAATTGTTGTATTTTTTCATTGAGACTAAGTTCGGATGATGGTTTTGATCTTGGAATTTGAAAAGTATTCCATAATATTTCACTTTTTGACGATTTATTATAGAATCATGTAAGTTGGTTTAATAATTTTCTTCAAGTAAGTTCAACTAGATTTGATAATGACGAACAATTATAAAATTCCATTAAGTTTGTCAATTTCACATTCCAAAAATTCCATTAAGTTAATTATTATTTAATAAAACGTAAATTTACCATTTCTAACTTTTACACAATCCCTTTTCGTATCACTTAAAATTGCTGAAACACTAAACTTAAGTACAGGTTTACTTGGCAATTCTTTAATGTGTGTATCCTTAGTATGTTGATATAAATCATTAATAAATCCACATTTTTCACATTTCTCATCAATATTATCATTATTAATTTTTAAATTCTCATTAAAATGTCCACATTTGACACAATTAAATTCATTTTCAACATTATCTGTTGTCACTGTGTAACTTCTTATCAATTCATCTTCGGATAATGGCGAATTTTGGTGATTCATACTGTTATAACTTTTAGGCGAGTCACAAAGTGAATCTTTTAAATCTGAATTGTGATCAGAGTCACTGTCATCGGATTCAGATATTGAGCCTGTTGAATCCATTTGTTCATCCTTGTCCTCATTTAAAATATTATCCACTAAAAATGCTGTCGACATTTTTATTAAGCTTTAAAATAATTTTTTTACGATTGAAAATTTTTTTTTTTTTTGAAATTTAAATCACAGCATGAATTTTAAATTATTTTGTAACTTCCTATATTTTTTTTAATTGTTAATTTTTTTACTTCCACAACTTCCTTATTTCACTTTCATTCAAGAGCTTCAATATTTCGTGACATCCGGAACAATAGCTCGTGAAGGACTAAAAACATTTATGATTTTTGGTTAGGAAATACAAGGATATACTTATGTACATACAGCAATCATCATCATCGTCATCAGCCAGCCAGTCAAACCCATCCCCCTTTAAATATAGAATCACACATTTTTAACAATGTCGGGAAACAGCATATTATAACAATTCAGTACAGTAGCAAATACAGTGTGGCATTGTATTTTATGAAAAAGTACATTCAGCATATAGCACATGATGTTTCATTTTCACAGCACTCACCCTATTTCATACATTTTTATCCTTTTTACGTCCTTATTCTTATTATTCGTTGTTACGATTATTACGTTATAAGACGAGGGCGTGGCCTATCCCAATCTACATCTGTGTATGTATTGGTGCTGATTCTCTGCATAAAAAGGATAAAAGTCATATTCAGGAAGTGAAAATACACATAGAGGAATCAAAATAAAAATAAAATACAAACTCAGCATACGACGATGATGATGATGTGTCTTTATATACGAGTGAGAGAAAGTAAAATCAATAAAAAAGCATTACGAAGGATACAGCTCAATTTCAGCATAGATCGTACAAGTTTATTTCCTCGATTATGAATCCTTTAAATATTTGATGATGTTATGTATTATTATTATTATAGTTCTTCTTTTGCTATCATCGTATTCTTCTTCCTCACTATAAAAAGCAATTTAAGGAAGAGAGAAAAATATGGCATGGCCAGAACATAATGTATTTTTATAATAGTTAATGGCTTTTTATATGAATTATGGAAATATTTTATTTTATTTCTTTCGGCTCATTGGAAGATATGGGGAAGGAAAAATGGTAATAAATATATATTTTCGGGTGGGGAGACTAATAATACAGTCATGATTATGATTATTGTAGCTGAGCAGATTACATTGATGATGGTGGCTCATAAAAAAAAGCTTTGATCATAAATTTTAAAAAAGTCAAATGGTGGAGCTTTGATTGCTCTTAAATTGAGATGAATTTTCATTCTTTCTTAAGTGGATGAAGTGTTTGGGGAGAATTTTTTCTGGAATTTTCAGGGGTAGGTGGGATGTAAAACATGTTGACACCGTTTTTGGATTGTCACATGAATTTTGTGTAGTTTCGTTGTACCGCTTGACTCAACCTGACGCATTGCTTTAAGTTTTTCATTATTATGAAGCATTGATTTAAGTTTTGATTCAATTTGAAGCATTACTTTAAGTTTTGACTCAACCTGAAACTTTGCTTTTAAATTGTACTCAATATGAAGCGTCGCTTTACTTTTTGAATCAAAATGGAGTTTTGCTTTACCTTTTCACTCAATTGAAAGCGTTAATTTAAGTTTTGACTCATTTTGAAGTGTTGCTTTAAGTCTTAAATCAATTTGAAGTGTTGCACTAAGTTTTGAATCAAAGTTTCGCTTTACTTTTTGACTTAAGCGGAAGCATTCCTTTAATTCAAAGCCTTTCTTAAATTCATGTCTCAAACTAAAGCTTTGATTCTTGCTCTACATCTTCAATTCTCATCAAATTCATGAACATTCCTCATTTCATTCATGAATTGATGTCTGCAGACTCCACATCGACTCAGCACACAATCCAATTTACGGCGCGAATATCAAAAATGATTTTCCTTCTGACATCTTTCCTTGCTATTTTTACACATGAGCGGAAAAATTTGTAATAATATAAAAAGAGATTTTTTTTTGGTACGACATCTGGTACAGACACATCTTTTAATAAAATTTTCATCGTTCATCGAAAGAGAGATTACTTTTTGTGACTACAAGGGATGAATGTATGCTTCAATAAATAAAACAATGAAATGCTGTTGCTTGCAAATGAAAAGTGTTGATTATGATGACACATAATCCAATTTGTGGACTATTCAGGAAATGACACATTTGTCTTTATGAATATTTTGATTTTGTTGGGATCTGACAGGATGCATAAGTCAAAGGAGTGTGCTGATTGAGAGTTAAGCAACATTGTGTCACACAAGTCCTCCATCTCAAGATTTAACAACAGCTATTTATAGTATCCATATTTCCTACAATTTCATGTAAATTTCACAGACAATAAAAATAATTATTATAAAGAAATGAACTTGAAAATTTCACATAAAAATATTTTTTATTGCAACCTAGTCAGTGCAAAAATATTTATCGTGTACTGAAATGTATGAATTAAGCACATACGTATGAATTAAATCCCCATTCAATGTCTACATCTATGCACAATAAAGTTTCGAATAACGGCTTTAATAGTTGAGCAATCTTGAGTAAATATTAGTAAACATTATTAGCAGCTATGCATAAAGTTAAAGAGGCGTACACAGAAGGTGTACTTGTGGGTCTTAATTCTTTTTAAAAGAGAAAGTTACGAGGTTAGTCTAGAATCTAGTAAGGTCAGAATTTCACCCACTGCACCACAGTAGATCTTGTAGGTCAACCTCCTCCTCCCTGATTACACCCCATTTACAGTAAGCGATGAAGAAGGCAGGCAAGGATATGAAGATGTCTTTATCGCAATAAGGAGTACTTAAATAATTTTCTCGCCTGAAAAAAAACGAAGGAAAATTCAGTATATAAAGCATAAAGAACTAAAGACTATTTGCCGTGTATTCCTTTCATATAAACGTCATCTGCATCTGTCGCAGAAGGAAATTTATTGAATTGCGAGAAAATGTTATAATAATAAAAATGGCAATAATATAAGTATTTCGCTCTATAACTGTACAGTAAACACACGCAATTTTAACCCTCATAAAGTCAAAATGTAGATGTTGGATAGAATGAGGAAAAAAAAAGAAATCTTTTCAGCATGTTATAAATGTAAAAATGTTTATTATATTATCCTATTAAACGTGTAAAGTAACTTTTTTCCTTCCTTCTCTAAACATCCTTTTTCTCGTCTCCCAAAAAATGTGTCATAAACTGCTTAGAGTGTATTTAGCACCGTAACGAAGCATATCATTAGTGATTGTATAGATATACACTGGATATGTTTATGGGAGGGGTGATAAATATTACGCTTAGGTCTTAGTCGCACCGTGATGTTATTAATGCTGGTTAAGCTATGCGCAAAGCTATGAATTAGTTTTGAAATGATTTGAGAAAAAATATAACCCCGTCAAAATTCTAATAATGCCCCCCCCCCCCTCCCCCCAACTTACCTTAAAAATGTAAACCAACTCGAAGTTCGAATAATGAAACGTCCTGCTTAGCTCCCCGAAGCAGCAGACTCCTTTTACATTGCAAACTTTTAAGGTCTGGACCAGGGGCGTAGCCAGAAAATTTGTAAAAGGTTGTTTTGCATTTTCCGAAATTTTTTTGGTTCGGATCTAAACTGACCACGAACCACCATCCTCCCCTTCCCCTTCTGACTTCGCTCCTAGTCTGGACGCAGAAAGAAAAATAAGTTATCTTCGAATTCGGAAACTAAGAATGGATGAGAAAAAAAAACATTCCGTACTCTAGAATTTCCAGGTCTAGTTGTTATTTATACACTTAGGCTTGTTCAAGAAAACAGCCTAAGACTCGCAACTTTAAGATTCCAACTTGATGCACGCCTGGTTTGTCGAGAAAATATTTTTTGACTCAGTTCCAAAATAGAGCTTCAACATCCAAATTCATCACGTTTTTCCTGCAGGTGCGACTACAACATCCAATCCATCCACCCCCTTCACCCATGCTTTCATTTATATTGGAATAAAAACACAAAATCTGTCACTGACAAAAACAAAAAAAGGAGAGAAAATTAATAAAAGTGTCCTTGTGCTCATTTGAGCTCTCCTCATTCTCCATGCTCTTTGATTATTCGACTTGTCATAATAAAGCATAAAATAATAATAAAATATGATTTTAATGAAATTATAAAATCATATGCTGAAAACTTTTATCCTCCTTTATATGAGCGTCATCTGATGAATTTTCCATTCATTAGTCACTCATTCGCCCGATATGTTTATTGAAAACAGAGATTTTGCTATGGTCACGTGCATCATATTATACAAAAATTCAGTTATGGATTATTTAAAGAAATTAGATGCGCATCATAAATGTTTTTTTAATATTTTTTTTTATTTAATTGGATTAATTTCCAATTAATTGAGTGCAATAAAAATTGTGACAAATTTTAGCAATAAACATTAAATAACGATATCGTAAATTAGAATAGGTGGGCACCAAATAATTGCAATATTTGCAATAATAACAACAAAATATGTTGTGATATTTACCTTTTGTAATTTTTTAACCCCTTTTAAAGCTATCGATTGCATTTCATTGAAAGGGTTCGCATGCATCAGGACAAATTGGTACACATTAGGACGATAAAATTATTCAATTGTACTGAATTAAAAAAAAAAATATTAAATTAGGGTTAACGAGATGTTCTTGTAAAAACAACTTTTGACTGCTTATGTTTATTTTTTTCATAAATATTTCTGATTTTACTGCTTTTATGGTTTGATTTAAAAAATTTGAGATTAATTTTAAATTATATTTTGACAGAACTTTGGTAAATTTAAAATTTCAGATCTCTTCCATTTTATGAAGATCATTAATACGATGTTCATTTATCACATATTGGAGGAAGAAGGTGGGATAGAAATGTTAATAAGAAAATTTAATCCAATGATTTTCAACCTTTGTGCTACAAAAAATTCAATAAATCGCATGTCGATTAGGTTTCAGTGCTGCTTAATACAAAGATTTGAGGTGGCAAAAAAAAAGTTTTTCCACCACTGGTTTTATCAATGAGGTTAATGAGTTTTTGAAAAATAGGGGAACTGAAAGTAAAATAGAGGA